CCTCACCCGCCTGCTTTGGCAGGAGCAAGTGAATCCAGTGATTCTCCTAGGAACGATGCACCAAGGGGGTGCATGAGGGACGGGTGTGGGGGAGCTTCAGGAAAGGGGGGGCAGGAAGGTCGCAACCGCCCACCCCCACAGATCCCGCAGGGGCCCGGCAGGCCCAGGGGAGATGCCTGGGGGTGGGGTCTCCCCGGGCCCTCCTCTTGCTCCGGCTGCTTCCTTCCTTCCTCCTTCCTTCTTTTGCCGGCAGGAGCCTCAGCTGCTGGACGCCGGCTGCTCGGTCACCAACAGCCTACTGGAGGGAGCCGTCACAGTTGGGCCGGGGAGCGTCATCCAGCACTGCTCCTTGAAGGTGGGCCACCCCCTACGGACTCCCCTGCAGCCCTGCACGTCTCTCGGGCTCCAGAGTTGCAGGGGCTGTTTGGGGTGGGGCAGTGGGGGCAGCGGGGCGGTGGCATTATCTTAAATTAAATAAAAACGAATCTCTGGCTGAGGCAGAAGAAATGTTGGTCCCAGAGAGAGGGCTTGCAGGACTCGGATCGAGGTCGGTGGGAGAGGGCAGGGAAGAAAAGGGTCGTGCTGGGCTTCAGGACGGCTCGTGGTGTCTCTGCCCTCCTTGCTCCAGGGCCCCCTGCAGATCCGCTCTGGCTGCCTCCTGACTGGGCTGGACGTGGCGTCTTCCGTGGCCCTCCGGAGCTGCCCGCTCCAGGATGTGGTGGTTCAGGGTCATGCCATCAGGTTGAAGGACTTCCGCTGCAAAGCATTCACCCTGAGTGGGCGCCACGATGACTGGCAGGTATGTGCCGATGCCTCAGTCAGCTGGCGGCAGCGGGCGGGGGGGGGAGAGGAGGTGGCTCCCCCAGGAAGGGGGTCCCTTGCCAGTCCTGGTGGGTGGGGGAGGGGGGCACCTTCCAGCTGGTCTTCTGCTGCTGCTGCTGCTCCCTTCAGGGAGCAGATCCTCAAAACCTTCCCTCGTTCTCCTGCTGGGCCCAGAATCCCACCACCCGCTGGCCACTAGCCAGCCTGGCCAGGGGGCTCCCCCAGTTGGCCCCCAGCGGTTTGTTCCTGTTGAGGTCTCTCCTGCCCGATTCCCCCCCCCCGCTTCCCCCCAGAAAGGCTTGGTGGATCTTCCTTCTCTGCCTGAGTCCCTTCCCTCTTCTCTCCTCAGGCTCCGGCGGAGGGAAACGGCACCTTTCTGAACGAGCCGTGGGCCGCTTTGTTCCTGAGGACGGGGAAACAACAACAACAACAACAACAACAGGACTCAGGCAACGTAGGAAGAGTTGGCCGTTTGCCACGAGGGCCCCCATCCTCCCTCGGCGCTCTGAATCAGGCCCTCCTTTCCTTCCCTTTCCTTTCCTACCTGGGCAGGAGGGAAGACCTGTGGAGCCCGGAGACCCCCGCCTGCAGCCGCTGCCTGAGGAACGCCCGCCTGTTCCCCGTGCTCCACGCTTCGGAGCCCCTGGGGCTGGGGGACCTCCTGTGGCTGCTTGGGCCCCCCGAGGCGGGGCGGCTGCTGCTGCTGCCACGCTGGCGCAGCGCCTGGCGCATGTCCTGGGAGGAGCTGCGGGGCTGCTTGGACCAGGAGGGGGAGCTGGCCTCCCGCCGGGCCCTCTTCTTCCAGCAGGCCCAGAGCAAAGCCCGGCGTGTGCTGGAGGGGCGCCAGAGCCGGAGCCTCCTGCCCTTGCTCCGCTCGGCCGCCCTGGAGGGCTTCGCAGAGGCCATGCTGGAAACGCTGGACCAGGGTGAGAAGGGGCGGGAGGTGGGCAGGCGCAGGGGGGGGGCGGGGAGGAAGCCAGCGCTGCTTGCAGAGCCTTGCAGGAATCCTAGTCCCAGTGGCCACCCCCCCCACACACACATACACCCCCCCCACACACACAGTATAAGCGGCTCTTGCTCTGTTCAGCTTCTGTGGGAGGAACGGGGACAGCCCCTCGCGGCGCACCCTCCCCACCCAAGGGCCTCGGGGGCTGTCGTTCCCCAAGGCAGGACTGGGGGGGGACTGGGCCAGAGAGACTCTCAGCTGAAGCGGGCCATGCAGGCTGGTCTGGGCCCTGAGGCCTTCTGCTTCCCTGCCCCACAGTGGTGTCGGAGGCCGGGGACCCTGGAGTGGCCGCCCGGGCCTTGGCCTGCATCGCGGACCTCCTGGGCTGCCTGGCCCGAGGGCAAGGGGGGCTGCGGAGTGGCCCAGCCGCCAACGCCGCCTGGCTGCCTGCCTTCCGGCATCTGGAGACAGGAAACATCGCCGAGGGGGTGCGGGAGCTTGCCCTCGAGAGGAAGAAGTGACACACACATAACTTGAGAGCCGTGTGTGAGTGTGTGTGTGTGTGTGTGTGTGTGTGTGAGAGAGAGAGAGAGGCTGGCTGCCTCAGAAGGGTGAGAGAACGGGCTCGGCTGCTCGGCTGGGCAGGTTTGTTCCCAGATGGGTGAAGGCAGTCTGCTTGCTCCGGCCACGTCCACGTCCTGCCCTGGCCGAAGGTGAGGCCGGGGGGCTTCTTGACCTGCCAGCCCCTGTCCAGGAGCTGTCCGTGCTTGTTAGAGAGGGGGCAAAAAGGATGGGGGTCCAGAGGGCCCTTAAGGGCCTCTCCCTGTGGACCGCCCTCGTCCTCCCAGCTGACCAAGGGACGGCTGTCCCTCCGCTTTGGAGAGTATCCGGTCGGCATCCTGAGGATTGAAAGCAGGCCTGCCTCTCCTGCACTGAAGGGGTCTCTTGGACAGGTCGTGTCTGTGTGTGTGTGTGTGTGTGTGTAAAGGTCCAGAGACCCCCCTCCCTGGAAGAGACCTCCCCCCGCTGCTGCCCCTCAGCTTGGCCTGTGGCCCCCCTCCGCTCCTGCCCCATGACCCTCCGCTCTCCTCCTTGCAGGCCGGAGCTGCTGGTTCGGGCTGCCCGGCACTACGAGGGCGCGGAGCAGATCCTCATCCGCCAGGCCGTGATGTCTTCCTGCCAGTTCATCCGCCTGGGGCCGGCCGAGATGCCCCCTGTGGGCTGCTGGGTGAAGGTGGAGTGCCCGGCCCGCATCGATCTCTCTGGTACGCGTCCGGGGCCTCCTTTCTAGGGGGAAGCGAAGCCTGACCTGTTGGGCTTCAGGCTCGGTTCCAAATCTCTTGGTGACGGTGAAACTTGGGGTGGGGGGGCTGGGGATTTCCTGCGAGGGCCCCCCTTGCCTTACTCCTGCTAGTTGCTGTGCCTGTTCAGGGGGCCATCCCGAGGCCTGTACTGGGGGAGGCAGTAGGAAGGACCTCCCCCCCTCTGCGCACCGTCTCTGAGCTGCTCTGAGGCGGCAGAAGGGGAGCCGGAAGGGCACGAGGACCTGTGCCCCACGGTTCCCCACAGTGGCTCAGTGGGCGCTGGGCTGAGGCCCACCAGGGGGTCCGTCCGTCGGTCCCCCGCATAGAGTCTCCAGGCAAGAGTGATGCGTGGCCTAATAGCAGGGGTGGTGGTGGTGGTGGTTGTGGCCCCCACCCCCTTCCCCTCAAGGACCTCTTTTGGGCCCCTGGTGTTGCAGGGGGCTGGAGCGACACCCCGCCCATCACCTACGAACACGGGGGAGCGGTGGTGGACCTGGCCGTCTTGGTGGATGGGCGGCGGCCGATTGGCGCACAGGCCCGCCGCATTGCGGAGCCTGAGCTGCGGCTGGTCAGCGCCAGCGGAGGCCTGGAGGGCGAGGTGGTGGTGGAGCTTGTGTGCCAGGAGCTGGAGGACCTGGCGGATTCCTGCCAACCTCATGCACCAGGTGAGACGCAAACACACACACACACACACCCAGGAGGGTGACGGCAGCTGCCGCCTGAGGGTACCCTCCATGTCCCCTCCGCAGCTGAAAGGCTACTGGGCCACCATGGCCCATTAGCCTCTTCCTGGGGCTTTTCCTCCCCCCCATCCCTGCCCCTTCTTGCACTCCAGATGTGTTCCTGGAATCAACCTCCCCCCCATTGCTGTTCCTTCCATTGGGGGCACACTAGCTTTGGCAGGAGGCTTGGGGGCAGCCGGGGGGGGGAGGGAGTTGTGGGCTGACCCTCTTCTCCATTCTTCCAGGGGCCTTGCTCAAAGCAGCTTTTATTTGCACCCAAATTGTGGATCTCGCTTCCCAGAAGACCTTGCAGGAGCAGCTGAAGGAGCGTTTTGGAGGAGGCTTTGAGCTCCACACCTGGTCCCACCTGCCTCATGGATCAGGGCTGGGTAGGTGTCCAGCCTCTCTGTCTGCACGCCTGGCATCCGTTCTGTGTGTGCGTGGGGGGGGGAGAGGGGGGTGTGGGACCTTGAGGGCCAGCATCGGCTCTGGGTTGCCTAATGTTTAAGGAGAGAGAGTGGGGAGTGGGGAGGCTTAAGGTTGCTTCACTGTAGGTAAGGCGTTCCCTTTTCTGGCGATGCCTGTTCTGCCCTGGAAGCTGCCTCCGTGCTTCTTCTGATTTCCAAGAGGGAGTTGTCCTCTCGTCGCCCTCCAGGAGGGGCTTTTCAGGAGCGGGAGGAAGCTGGGGCCCCCTCTCGGTGCCCCACTGAGGGTGGTGGTCCTCTTCCACAGGCACCAGCAGCATCCTGGCAGGCGCTGTGATGGCGGCCCTCTACGGGGCCTCCGGCCGCTCGGCCAGCGTGGAGTCCCTCATCCATGCGGTGCTCCACCTGGAGCAGGTCCTCACCACAGGTCAGTGAAGGTTGCTGCTTCCCGGTGCTGCTCAAGGCTCCGAGGAAGCAATCGAATCAAGCCGAGAGGCAGCCGAACTCAGCGGCACCCTCCCCTCCACCGCCCTGGCCTGCCCAGAGCCCCAGGCCTGGCGCTGGTGGCCGGCCTGGCCCTCCAGGAAGTCCTGTTCTCACCGAGGTCAGGAGCTCTGGCGAAAGGTTGCTCGACTCCCTGCATCGCTGGACTGGCCACGTTCCTTTGGGGCGCCCTCTGGGGAGGCTCCTCCTCCTCCGGGCGCAGCGCTGGCCCACGGCCTTCGCTCTGGCTGGCTCCCCTTGGGCAGAACGAACAGGCCAAGGTGAGGGGGTGTCCTCTCTGCCACTCAGACAGCAAAGGCAGGGCGGTCGGAGGCGGTGGCCGGCCCAGCTTTTCACCGAAGCCCTGTGTTCCTCCTGCCCCGGCTGGCGCTCCCTTGGTGTGGCTTCTTAAGAGTTGGGGCCCCCCCCCCAGGCTCTGCCCTTCCCCCTCAGCCTCTGACTGGAGGGGAGGGCTCTGCTTTGGCCGGTCCAGGTGCTGTCTGCGCTCCCCCCACCCCCGCTGATGCTTGTGCCTTGCAGGTGGAGGGTGGCAGGACCAGGTGGGCGGCTTGGTCCCCGGCCTGAAGATTGGCCGCTCAGATGCCCGGCTGCCCCTGAAGGTGGACGTGGAGCCGATTGCCGTCCCGGAGGGCTTCGTCCAGACCCTCAACCAGCACCTGCTCCTGCTGTACACGGGGAAGACACGCCTGGCGCGCAACCTCCTCCAGGTACAGCCATGGCGTGGGGAGGGGCCGCAGGGAGGCTCTCTCTCTCTCTCTCTCTCTCTCTCTCTCTCTCTGTGTGTGAGAGAGAGAGAGAGAGGAGGGAGCTCCTGCCATCCTGACTGCTGTGCCTCGCAATCAATGTTCTGCGTCAGGGCTCAGGGGTCCTGAGCATCGCTGCGCCTGGGGCTTGCCTCTAGGGAGACCCAAGGGCTCTGCTGGAGACTCTGGAATGCCAGGGAGGGACCCGCCCCCCCCGCCCCCCCGCCATGCTTTGGCCACTGTGAGCCAGGGCCAGGCCCGTCCCAGTGCAGGGCGGTGGTTGTCCAGCCAAGGGGCTGCCGGTGGCCTGAGCAGGGAGGGCAGAGGGCAGGCGGCCTCCTCAGCCTCTTGGGGGAGGCCTTGGGGTGGGAGACGCTGCTTGCTTTCCTTCACTCTGGCCTGTCCTGGCAGGACGTTCTCAGGAACTGGTACGCCAGGCTGCCCGCCGTTGTGCAGAACGCCAGCGCTCTTGTGGGCAATGCGGAGGCCTGTGCCCAGGCCCTTCGAGAAGGTACAGGCCGCCTCTGCCGGGGGCGCCTCCGCGGTTTTGTGGCGCCTGGCCAGGCATGGGATGGGCGGGGTGGTGGTGGTGGTGGTGCAGGTGCAATGGGGGGCTGCGCGAGGGGCTCAGGGGCTCCCTCCCTTATACGATTTACAAGTTCTCTTTTGTCTGGGGAAGAGGCTCAAGACCTCATGGGGGGGACTGCTGATTTTCTGAGGGCTTTACGGTTTGCTGGAAGGAGTGGCGGCCTTTGTGTGGGGCTGAGGGAAGTCCCTGCTGGCGTGTGGGGAAGGGTTAAAGGGTTCTGTCTCTGTGTTCAGGTTGCCTTCCCCACCTGAGCCTCTTGCCAGCCCCCACGGGCTTCCTGGGGCCCCCTTGGAAGTAACCCCCCCATCTGCCAAGGGCTCCAGACCCTCCATGGGGGTGGGAGTCCTGCATCCTTCTTCCCTTTTCTCTCAAGGCGACCTGGCTCTCCTGGGCAGCTGCTTGAACCGTTACTGGCTGCAGAAGAAGAAGATGGCGCCCGGCTGCGAACCTCTGGCCGTCCGGCATGTGATGGAGGTGCTTAAGCCTTACGTCTATGGGCAGAGCCTGGCCGGGGCAGGAGGGGGAGGCTTCCTCTGCCTCCTCACAAAGGCGCCGGGGAAGCAGGACGACCTGCGGAGGATTCTGGCCGAAGCAGAGGTGAGGGGCCTCCTTTCCTGCCCGTCAGCGCCCGGCTTCCCCACCCTGCAGCCTCCTAGCTGAGCGTGTTTGCCACCAGGGGATTTGGGGGTGGGGGGACAGGGGCTAAGGAACAGGCTTAAAAAGGTGGCACGGTTTCTCCCTCTTGCAGGCGGGGGGCAGGCAGAGGAAGCCCCCACCTCTTCCTCCCCCTGCAGAAGGGTGACTGGCCTGCTTGCCTGTCTTCCAGGGCCTGGAGAACTTGAGCATCCACACGATAGAGGTGGACACAGCGGGCTTCCAAATGCAGTTGGTGGGGGAAGACTCCCCACAGGAGGGGCCGGCAGGAGCCTGGCCAAGTGTCCCATCCACAGCCCTGAATCAGAGGGAGGATCCCCACCCAGGAGGCCTCCGGTGACCCAGGAGAAGGGGAACCGGCTGGCTGGGCTGGGCTGAACCGAGGGCAGCCCACACCTTCCAGTGGGAAACGCCGGCCTCATAGGTGGACTCTGAGCTGCCAAGACTCCCAAGGCCATAAGAAGAGCCCTCCGGATGGGGCTGAGCCGGAGCTTCTCTGCTCTGCGGCCCCAGCTTGCAAAGAACCTGACCACAGGGCAGGAGAGGCGAGGGTGCAGGAGCCTCCTCCTCCTCCTCCTCCATGTTCAGTCCAGGGGCCCGAGTTTCTGCCTTATGACCACAAGGTGCCTTACAGAATGAAGAAACACCAAATCAAGTAAGAGGGAGGCAAAGCTGCCGTTCTTTCAAGAGCAAGATCTGGCCCGGAGGGCAGTTTCAGACATGGGCCATTGGTTGGTCCACACAGTCCCAGGTGGTGGGGGTGGTGGTGGGGGCTGGCTCAGGTCATTGTTTTTCTTAAAAGCTCACGTGGCTTCTGTCCTCATGAGCAAAAAGGAAACATCAGGGATAGCGAGATAGCCGCCGTCTCTCAGAGAAGCAGGGGGTGCGTCGCCCCAGCATCCTCAAGGAAGCAGGGGGGAGCTCAAGACACCCCCAAGCAGGGCTAACGACTCAGAGCCCAGAACAGGAAGGGTCAGCCCTTTGTGTTGTCTCCCCACAAGGACTGGGCCCGGAAAAGGGAAAGACAAATAGAGGCCTACTTTGAAAAGGACACGGTTTTGTGTGGTGATTATTTAGGGGTTGCCTCCACAGAATTACATCCCCCCCACACCCACCCCAGCGCACGCACGCACGCACGCACGCACGCACGCACGGTCGGTCTCGCCCTGTTGTGTGTGTTCAGAATCACGACCCACTCAGACCCGTCATGGCTCTTCACCGGCACAGGTGGGAAGAGCAATCCTGCCTGCCTGCCGTCCTAAACTCCTCCTAATGGGTGACACCGGGGACAGAAACGAGAGCCGCTGGCGGGGAAACGGGCAGCTTCTCGGAGGGCCCCATCATCTTTCCAGCCCCCCCCCTCCCAGAGGGGGCTAAAGGCTCCTGGCCCTGAAGGGAAGCTCAAAATGAGAGTGGCCTGGCATTTCGTGACGGCTGTTCCTGCCAGTTTTGGGAACAAGCCAGGGAAGGGAGAGGGAGAGGGAGAGGGAGAGGGAGAGGGCCCGAAGCACCCGGAGGGGAGGATTTCCAGTCCTTGAGGTTTATCCTACGGGGTCCGAGTTGCTCCATGGCTTTTTGCCACCTTTGCACAGGAAGGAGGTTCCCGTTTGTGGTTCATCCCACTGGAGTGCTTCTGATATGACAGAGAAGGAAAAGATTCTCTTAACCCATAAAGGAGGATCACCTACTCTGAATCCCAGGGAATAGCTAAAAGTGAGGCAGGCCTTGGTCCGGATGGAGCCAGGCAGTGGGAGGGTGTTGAGTATCGGTGAGGAACAGAAATTCCTCTCCTTTGGAACCTCCCCCAGGTTTTTGGTTCCCAAAGGAACGAGGGCAGCTGGGCGCCCCAAACCCCATGCCCGGGGCACAGCCATGGGGTGAAGGGTTGGGCTGGGCTGGGCTGCCTCCCTCTCTCTCTGGCCCTCGTACAGGTGCCCCCATGAAAAGAGGCGGCAGTGCCACAGGTGCCGTTACCCCCAGGGTGAAATCTGGGCGGATGGAGGGGGGGAGGAAGGCTGTCCTTTAAAGATGCCCCAGCTGGGGTGCACAAACTGGCCAGCTGCAGCTGGCAGGATGTGGCTGACGGCGTTCCTGGTGAAGAAGGCAAGGCAGCAGAAGGCCAGCAGAAGGGCTGTTTATTGCATGCCACCCAGGAGGGAGGCGCACTGCACCTCCCCTGCTCCCGGGGGGGCAAGACTCCGGGGGGGGGAAGAGCCTCGGGGATTTTGGATGAGGGCCGGCCCGGCAGGGAATGCCCTTTGGGGGCCAAGGGAAGGGCACCCCTGCCCAGCCCAGGCCGCTACAGGCGCAGGCGCTTGATGTCTTCGCTGCGGAAATCCATCCGGAGGGCCAGCACCTGGCGGACTTCAGCCGGGGTGAGACGCCACGTCAGCGGGCCCGAGTTTGGCCCCCAGTAATCCAGGATCTCTGTGACCTAAAAGGAGGAAAGGGTGACCAGCTGGTGGAAGTTGCAGAGGGACTCCAGGCACCATCCCTCCAATGCAAGAAGTAAGGAACCAAGCGAGTGGGAGGGTACATGTGTGTGTGTGTGTGTGGGGCACAAAAATGTGGGCGCCAGGCCGGCTGCCAGCAACGTGGCCCACATGTCCGCGTGCCGAGGGCAAGCTCTGTAAGGGAGGAGTTGAGGGTACAGCTCGCCAGGCACTCCTCCCCAGCACTCTCCTCGCCTGCCGGTGTGTGTGAGGCCAGCCTCCTCCTCCTCCTCCTCTAGCAGCCAAAGCCTCTTATGGGCAGCTGCTCCCGCTCCCTCCCACCCTCGCCCAGCACCCAGCGAGGCAAAGCCAGCCCACCCTTTCCAGGTTGAGGATGGTGGCCATCTGCGAGAGCCGAGCAAACTTGTCCCGGATGGTCCAGGTGGTGACGGTCGTGAGGTAGGCGATCAGGGAGCGCAGCTCTTTGTCAAACTGCAACCCACCAAGCTGCGGAGACAAAAAGAGACAGAGCAGGAGATGGCAGGACAGGGGGCGCACACACGAGCGAAGGAACAAGTGGGTGAAAGCAGGAGGCAAGGGACTCCCTTCCCCCAGTCCCCCCCTCCCCGAAGCAGCTTGCTTGAGGCCATGGCTGCTGCAGGGGATGGGGGGGGCAAAGGCTGGAGCACCCACCCCCCTGTTGAGCAAAGCACAAAAAGGAAAGGGTCCTGCAAGAGGACAGCTGGCCCTGCCTGCCGGAAGCCCCTCCTGAGCCTCCCTGGCGCTGATCCGGGAGCGCTGCCTCTCCTTACCCGACTGAAGGTGGACTTGAGCACCACCTTCTCCAGCTCCACAGCAATGAGGCTGGTCATCAGGCTGGAGAGGCTGTCGTAGATGACGGGCGACAGCCCTGCCTGCAGACGGGAGGGAATACAGCGGCTTGGAGGCGCTTCCACCCAAAAACCTGCCCGAAAAGGGAGTGGCAGGCCAGCCACTGGCCCAGGGACTCTGCAGGTGGGAGGGCCCAAGGGGAAGCGAGGGGAGGGTGGGCCAAAGGGGAGCGGGCAGAGTGTCTTACCTAAAGCTGGCCCGAGAGGCCCCCCAGGGCCCACCCTTCTCACCCCAGGGAGGCAGCCTGGGTGGCAGTGCTGCAATGGCCCTTCCTGATTCCCCAAAGACCTGGATCCGACGGGTGCCGAGGCTTCC